TTTATTTGTTTTTCTCTTTTAAGAAGGCCTGTGTGAGAGGGAGTGCGGATGTGTGAGTGTATGTGTGCATGGAAGTATATGTATATATAATAGAAATAATACCATATGTGTATTTCCTTATTTAAGAAAGCAACTCAAGAAATGGGGTTATTTTAGGGGACCTGGATGCTATTAGATTCGGTTTACATAATATCAGGTATAGGCTATTATTTCCTTATTTAAACAATCGAATCATGAATGCGAGTTATTTAAGGTGACACGGATGTTAATACTGTACGCCCATTGTTAAGGGACCTCAATTCCTTGTTTTGACTGAATTCAATCTAGGCCCTATTCAAAACTAACAATGCTGAGGACATAATGTCAATAAACTTTGATATCACGACATTTATGGCAAGTCAATTGTATTTCATGTTGAATGCTTCTTCCAGATTAAGTAAATGAATGCTGTAAGGGGGAGAAGCAATACAAAGACAGGTACTGGTCAATATTAATTTCCTAATCAAATTTATTAGTACTGTGTATGTCTGGGTCTATATGTCTACACAATTTTTATATGGGACGTCTTTGTCAATGCGATTATCATATCACTACTGTATGCCACGTTGGTATATCGCAGATCTAATCCAGTCGCAGATACCTCGATCTCAAAACAATAAATTACACAATTGGTCTAAACAAATTAAAATAAAGATTATTTAGTATCTCATACCATTCATATCAACTTAATCTATTGGAGAAAACACATTAAGATAACGGTTTGTGGGTGAATAGTTTTCGTAGTCGATTTGAGTTTCATTACTGTTACGCTATATTATATTCTACATATGTTTCTTGTTAAGGAAGTACCGTAGTCTATAAAGTACGTTTTATACTGCAAACTTTGTTTATGCCTGAATTGCATTCAAAAGAACACTACCTTAAATAGTAGAATGTAAAATTGACGACTTGAACAGGTAAACAGCCAGCTTTTGTGGCTGAACAATGACAATGAATTTGAACAATATGTCATCACAACAAGATAACATCATAGATATGTGTACTTCATAGCCTATCGACTCTTGAGTAAGTAGACCTATAATTTTGCTATAGTTATCTTCTAATTATACACTCGAGTTGTTAAAGGTAAGTTATCATAGGCCTGCATCATATCATCACATTTTGTTTAAGTTTGTGAACAGTAAATGTGTCATAGTTTTTCAAAGTAGATAGCTCTCGTGTGCGAAAGGCTTCATGAAGATTGTGAATATTAGGCCTACACACAATGTTTTTAGGCCTACAATTATATTGGAACTGTAACATTTCGTAGCGCTATTACTGTAATAGTCAATTATGGTCATGTTGTCATGGGTTTTTATGATTCAAGATTTAGACAAGACTAAAATGGATTTTGTATACAAATTTGTACACATAACGATGATGGTGAGTAGCATGATAATTTGGTGTAGCATGATCACAGTAATAACTGGTAGGCCTATGGAATGTTTCCGAGGCGGGCTTATTTTAGCATGATGATGGTGATCTTGTGTAGCATGATCAATGAAGCAGGCCTATGCACAGTGATAATTATCACGAGTGTAACATATTACTCACTGGTATATTATGCTAATCATTGGAATTGTTGCATTGACCATCGGTGTAGCAATTTTTTTTATAAAACGAATATTCCACTAGAAATTGTGCAAACCAAAAAAAAGACAAAATGTGTATATAATATCTAGCAAACCTTAGTACAGGGGATGAGGCGCCAGGAATTCCCCGACGAGAGGTCCAAGCTCCCTGACAAGGGGACTTGCCAACACTTATGAGTGGCCGAATACTCCTGGCGACGCATTGTGCACTCATTTTCAGACGCGTCAACATAGGGTAAGTACATAACAGAATCTCTCAGCAATTACAGGGTGGAACGAAGTTCTATTTAACTCTAAGTCTGTATCAGGCTTAAGTAGGCCTAGAGTTATTCAGCCATGAGAAGAGTGGACGCATTCACGAATCTAGTATTGATAATCCCGGTAATCAATGTTTGTTTAAATATAGGCCTATATTAATATAAACATTTTAGTAAAAATAATTATTAACTGTCTTTTAAATGTAGTATACTTAAATTATAACTGTAAAAAGCAAATGCTACTATTAATAACAAAGCGTGTAGGCATAGGGCACTATATATCGAGAAAAAAAAAGAAACACACAAAGCATCCCAAAAATGCTTGTGGACCCACATCAACATTGGTCAAATCATCATCAGCAAGCCCAGGAACTTCAGAAGCCCATCGGGATCTACTAAATCGATCTTCAGTTTTTACTCTACACTGTAAATATTGTCTGCACACGTTTTATTATTATTGTTATTATTTTTAATGTGACCACATGTGTTGTTACCTTTGCATCTTAGACAATACTCAGCCGGGATCTGCTCTTCAACGTAAAAGTAGAAAGAAAACTTGTAACACATAAAGTAAGTAACAAACTATCATTAGTTGCCTTACTACTCTATATTTGTTTGTTGTAATCATTTTTTTTTTATTTTTAAGATTTAATTTCATTGTCACACTTGTTTTGACGATCATAAACATGCATTGGCTAATGGTCATGCTCATACTTCTCAAAACAGGAGTCGGTATGTATTAGCCAACTTATTATTTTTATTATCATTGTCATCATCATCTCTATTATTTGTATTATTTTATTATTATTATTATTATTATCATTATTATCATCATTATGCTTAATAATAATATGACCTTGAAAATATAAACAAATTAACCTTTAGATACTGAAGTGTCGTAAGTTACATCTTACATTTTATAGAAACGCTAAAGATAATTCAGTCACCGTCCACGTTTTTTAACCTTTCTATTTCAATTAATAAGTCCTGCTCTCAATACCTTAAAAAGTGGGGTTTCTGAGTAAATACATTTTGTATTACTTATAAACTGTCAAAAAAGCTTTATATACACACACACAATTTAAAAAACATGAAAATCATTTCAAAGAGTAGCGTCCAATATCAAATTATAATAAAATCAAGCCATTGAATAATAAAACAACAACAATAAAATGCAATCATTAAATATTAAAACGTCAAAAATCGACAAAGGTACATAAAAACATGGGAAAATCTACAAATAGGGTCTATCAAGCATTATTTGAAAATAACATAAATTTACAATAAAATTATGAGTACAAGAACATTATAACCAAAAACATAAAAACAACAAACATCAAAGCTAAGTTAAGGATGGTCCATAAAGTAAATTAATGACTTATTTCAATGGTGTCCCTTTTTGTGGTGATACATTAAAAGCTGAACGTGTTTATTCATAGCTTAATGTCTTTTGGATGTTGACGGGTTGAGCAGTAAATGTGTTTAAATCCTTCACTCTGTTTTATAGTGTATACATTATTGTTTTATTACTTCAAATGTACTCTAGTATTTTTCCATTCGAATAACATTGATAATTTGGTGCACATTCAAATATGTATCTATTTGTATTTGTGAATTTGAGCATCCCTTATTAATCATAGCTTAATGTCTTTTGGATGTTGACGGGTTGAGCAGTAAATGTGTTTAAATCCTTCACTTTGTTTTATAGTGTATGACTTATTGTTTTATTACTTCAAATGTATTATAGTATTTTTCCATTCGGATAACTTTGATAATTTTGTGCACATTCAAATATGTATCTGCTTGTATTTATGCCTTTGAGTATCCCTTATTAATTCTCATCCTCTATTAATCTATTAAGCGGAAAAGTAACATAATGATATGCACTTGCAGAGCAGAGGAAAATATACGGAAATCACAAGTAATTTTTTTTGTGGGTTGATACGACAGTATAGATGGAAAACTTCTTGTTTTAAAGTAAAATATTTTGATATGTTTTATCTAGCTACTGCTGTAACAACTCAAGCCCCAGGTAAGTTTACAAACAACATTTTAACATAAAGTAATTTATATAGAAAATAGCACTATAAGTGATGCCAACAATTAGTTTGCTACATTTAAGTAAACTAAGAAAGTAAATGTGAGGGTACTCTAAATGCCTTATTAAGGTGCAAGTGGCTTCAAATCCCAATGATATAAAAAGACATACTTAAGAAAGACACACTATGTTACCAAAATTTGGAAAGTAAACCAGAAACGGAGTACATAGGATACAAAATCCTTGCAATCGTATTTTGAGTCCATTAAAATAATTAGTAATATTATGACTGTAGATGGAACTAGACCAACCCAATTCATGCCAGTTGAGACAATATACAATACAATATTTAAAGGATAACAATTTTATAACAGTGGCACACGTTAGACTATACCTTGTGCATCCAAAGATGTATATACGGTTCATCCAAGTTATATATAATCAAAAAGCAACCAAAATATAAATAGACATACTAAATAAAATAGATTTGAATATTGCTCATACCAAAAAAAAAATCAATATACGCAAATGGATAGAACAATATCTTTTAATATTTTTTAATTAATATGAAGTTTTCACTAAAAAACTTCGTAGTATAATTCATAATGCACTTTTACAATTAGCGGTGCCTACACTAAATCAATAATCCATCTCTTGTTTAAACACCAGAGTGGCAAGTCATCACTGATTTGTTGTTTATTATTCCTATTGTATGTTTTACTATGTTATATCTAAAATTATCTTTTTCTCAGATTTTATTCTTGGCCACAAGGTGTGCTATTTATATGGGTATTATATAGACGTATCTACACTAATACCCATATTAACATTATGTTTTCTGAACATTATAATTTCAGTAATATTTAACGAGTGTACACTTTTTTTATATTCATTTGTAAGATTGCCTACCAGTATTTAAAACGTTAGCCTCCGGAGAACATCAGATAGTAAATTCTTCGAACTACCCAGTTAGCTATCAGCACGATCTGGACTGCTATTGGGAGTTTACGGCACCAGAGAATCATCACATATTGCTTACATTATACGATGTTGATATTGAGAGTGAATACGACT